GGCAGCCCGACACTGAAGACCCCCCTTTTGGGAACCCCCCAAATCCCAAAAGCCCCCTCAGATCCCAGTGTGGGAGTGACACGTGGCCCCCTGGTGTGGAAGAGACACCCTCACCCCTCCTACAGGTGGAAATCCCCCCTGGAGCGTGACAGTGTCCCCTCTCCCACCCCCCATCTCCTGTTGGATCACCATCACTATGTCCTGGTGGTGTCTGGATGGGGAGGGAAAGGCCATGAGCATCATCATCCCCCATGGAGCAATTCCCAGTGCTTTGTCCAGTTACATCCAAGCCCTGATTCTCCCCTTGGGAGAGGCCCCACAGCCTAATTAACAGATGCTGATTGATAGATCCCAGGACCCTTGAAACAAGCCCATAAATCCTGCAGGAATCTTGTGTTTGGCCAAGAGTGATTCTTGGAACTCCTAACATGGAGCTCCCACCCCCTACCTCTGCCTGGCACTGCTGCCCTTTGGGATGCCATTAGGGCAGGATAAAACACATTCTGCTGCATCCCAAAATGCTCCAGAGCATCACCAGCACTTGGTTTTATCCGTCAGCTCCAGGCTGTGGGGGGAGCCAGGGAGGCACCTCCACCAGTGAGGGGATCCCAGTGCCCAAGGCTCGAGAGATGGAGTCACAGAGGTGGTGCTGGGACACCCCACTCCAGGCTCATCCTGAAACTCCCCAGACACAGCGACTCCCTGCATCCCTTCAACGGTGCAGCTGGGCTGCCGAGCTCTTCCAAACATGGGCTATGTCCCCAAATGGATCACAAGAGTTTAACAGCAACAGTAGCAACATTTAATTAAAACCCCAACCCTGCCCAGTCACAGAAGACCCTCAGCTACAACATGAACCACTTTTGGGGGAGGAAGATGATGTTTGGGGCCAGAGATGAGTTGAGGTTTTGGGACTCTGCATACCCCTCCCAGCCAGGGTGGGCACACATGGCTGGGTCCAGCCCCACTTCTGCCCCTGCTGAACAGAGGGTACTCTTGGAGAGCTCTCTGGGAATCACAGAATCAGGGAATGGGTTGGAAGGGACCTTGAAGCTCATCTCATTCCACCCCTGCCGTGGGCAGGGACACCTTCCACCAGCCCAGGTTGCTCCAAGTCCCGTCCAACCTGGCCTTGGGCACTTCCAGGGCTGGGGCAGCCACAGCTTCTCTGGGCAACCTGTGCCAGGGCCTGCCCACCCTGGGAAAGTGGGTTCAGGGGCAGCAGATGCCCCCCACACTGTGGGGGAACCTGCAGGCACAGACCTGGTTGTGTCCCCCAGGAGGGGATGAGGGAAAAGCAGCCTTTGCTCCTCTCCCTCTGCCTTCCACACCTTTTCCCAACCCCTTCTCCAACCAACACCAACTAAAGGTGAAAAATCCCTCAGTAAAGAGGCTTAGAGGCAGACTCAGGGAAATCAGATCATGCCCCACCGTCACTCTGATGCAGACCAGGAGCTGAGGTGTCCTGGGGAGGGAAGGCCCCTTTCACACAGGCACCAATTTTGGAGACAGGAATGACTTTGCGACTCAAATTCCTGTTGGTTCTGTGGATTTCAGAGCTTCACTCCCAGCTGTCAGAGTGGCTGTCCCCGGAGGTGGGCCGTGTGTCACGGCTGGTGCTGCAGGTAGTTGGCCAGGACTGTGGGGATCTCCAGCTCTCTGAGGGTGGGCAGGTGGCCAGGCTGCTTCAGGATTCGCCTCATGGCCAGCCGGGACTGGGACAGCAGGGACTTGGGATGAGCTGTGTGAGGAGACAGGAATAATGAGACAGTCACCCCCAAGGCCCTGTTCCCCTCCAACTCAGCAGATCAAAACTAGACAGGGTTGGACTAGATGGCCTTGAAGATCCCTTCCAACTCAAGGCTTTCCATGATTCTAGGAAAACCAAATGTCTCTTGTGCTGGGGACACAGACCCAGACACAGCTTTGCAGCACAAGTTCCACAGAAGCTGGGCAAGGAGGGGAAACCTTCCATCCTCATATGGAAAGAAGTGCATTTTTCCTTGACACAGGCAGTACAGGAGACCCCAAACTGAGCAGCAGAGAGGAGAGGAATGGTGAAAAGCAGCCTTTATCCCAACAATGGAGTGGAAATACCAGGCTGTAGGAGTCATAGAATCATGGAATGGCTTGGGCTGGAAGAGAGCTTAAAGCCCATCTTGCACACCTTCCACTAGACCAGGTTGCTCCAAGCCCTGTCCAACTTGGCCTTGAACACTTCCAGGGATGGGGCAGCAGCCAAATGATGCTGCAAGGGGAGCTGAGGCTTAAGGAAAGCCCGGGTAAAGCACAAGATAAAGGGAAGGGGAACCAGCAGCAGCCTAAACAAGCAAACCTAGTGCCTGTTTGCCCACCCCCAGGTTACCTCTGGCCTGCAGCAGCAGCTCCAGCCCCTCGCTGCGCGGCGCTCGCCCGTCCACGGGCACGTTGGGCAGGTACACGTTGGCTCCAAAGTCAATGAGCAGCCTGATGAACTGGCTGTGGCAGCCGTGCCTCAGGCACGTCTCCAGCAGGGTCTTGGGCTCCTTGATCTGGGCGATGACCGCCTGGTCCGTGCAGTTGTAGTCAGGGTCGGCGCCGTGCAGGAGCAGCAGCCTGAAGCACTCCAGGTGGCCGTAGGCGGCCGCCAGGTACAGGGGGCCAGAGCAGGACACCGAGTTGGCCGCCCAGGAGGGCAGCCTGGCCTGCACGTTGGGCTCTGCCCCGCGCTGCAGCAGCTGCCGCAGGATGTCCGCCCGCCCGTCCCTGGCCGCGAGGAGCAGCGGGGAGCAGTTGTTGTAGATGCTGCCCGCGGGACTGGCCCCGGCCTCCAGCAGGGCCTCCACGCACTCGCTGTGGCCGTTGCTGACGGCCACGAACAGCGGGGTCTGGGCCTTCACGTCCAGCCCGTCCACCTCGGCGCCGTGGGCCAGCAGCAGCCGCAGGCTCCGCGCGCAGCCCCGCGCGGCCGCCACGCGCAGGGGGGTGCTGGGGACCCCCCAGCCGCTCCGGCGGTTGATGAGCCGCCTGTACCTGTCCTGGGACAGCAGCCGGCACAGCGTCTCACAGTCGTCCTCGGACACCGCCCGGATCAGCTCCTCGCTCTCCCCGCCGTCCTCCTGCTCGTCCTCCCGGGGCTGCAGCATGGAGAACATCTTGTTGATGTCCATCAGGCTCATTTTCGGGGGGGTGTCGCCCACGTGCTGCTCTCATGGTAAAGGGTAAAGGCAAAGATCTACAGGATGACAAAAGTGGGTGAGAACCAGCCCCTGACACCAACACCAGCTTTTTAGCCTTATTTTTAATGTACAGTATGGGGAAGATTTAAAAAAACATGGACAAAGAGCATTGGGTTCTGGTGCTGCTGATGGGCAGCACTGTCCTGCCACAATGTGAGGAACCCTGAGGGTGAAGGGCTGAGGCAACCACAGAGGGCAAAGGTACACGGGTCACATTCCCTTAAAATCATGGAATGGTCTGGGTTTGGGAGGGACCTCAAAGACCATCCAGTTCCACGGGCAGGGACACCTTCCACTATCCTGGGTTGCTCCAGCCTGGCCTTGGACACTTCCAGGGATGGGGCAGCCACAGCTTCTCTGGGCAACCTGTGCCAAGGCCTGCCCACACTCACAGCCAGCAATTCCTTCCCAATATCCCATCCATCCCTGCCCTCTGGCACTGGGAAGCCATTCCCTGTGTCCTGTCCCTCCATCCCTTGTCCCCAGTCCCTCTCCAGCTCTCCTGGAACCCCTTTAGGCCCTGCAAGGGGCTCTCAGGTCTCCCTGGAGCCTTCTTTTCTCCAGGTGAACCCCCCCCCTAGCCTGGCTCCATCAGCCCTGAGGTGGTAAAGGGTAAGAGATGCCTCAGGGGATACTCAGGAGCTGCTCAGGAAGGCTCTGGGTGCCACAGGGTCTTGAAAGGCCCCTGCACCCAATGCTGGGCAAAGCCTCCCATTTCCCAAACCCTCAGCAATCCCCATCCAGTTTTCCCTGGGAGAAGAGAGCACACTGGAAAAGAGCAGGAACCAACTCTGCTTCATTCCTGGAATCTCTCACCAGCACCTGCAATTCCAAGTGTTTCAGGAAACCCCGATGAAAAGCTGGCAGTGTTGAAATGTTTTTACCCCCTGCCAGTTTTTACAGGACTTGGGTTTCAAGACAGGGGATGAGGTGAATGTGAAGGGGGTCAGTTTGATTAGGGATCAAACATCTTTCAGCTTCTTCCTTCTCAAAACTATGCCAACATTAGAATTCCACAATTTTCCTCTCTCCTCCTGCTCAAGCCCAAGGAACATGACTGGGTCTGGGATGTTCATAGTGAGGGGTTTGGGGTGCTGGGAGGAAGGGGGGGATGCTGAGCTGATCATACTGAGCAGAGATTGAACCCCCCACGACTGCGGGCTCTGGGTGCAGGATGTGGCCTCAGGGCAGCAAGGGACAGGAATGTGATGTCCCAGCTGGAAACGGGATGGGCAGAGGAATTTCTCGGCAGCCCTGTGGCATCTCGGGTTCCCCCCGGCAGAGGCAGAGCTCGGTCTCTACTCCCCCCTCGGAGGAGCCAAAGAGCTGCACCGAGCAATTAACCTCGAGCAATTAACCTCGATCTGCAAACGAGCTCGTCGTTAACGGGGCAGCCACGGGGGGCCCGTCCCAAATCCGCCCCCGAGCTCCCAGTGACCCTCTGCCAGGCCACGGCACAGCTGGGGGAAGTGGCACAGATCTGATGGCTCTGAGTGACAGCAAAGCTCTGCTGGGCTTCCACCCGTTGTCCCAATTTATCGAGATAGATGGAATTGTAGCATTGCTGTTATTCATTAGACAGGCTGATAATGAGCTCTGGAGCTTTGGGATCACCCCACCCATGTGGCTAATGGGGACTGGGGGGGTTATTGCAGATTTGGTTCAAAAAGGAAGTTATATTACAAGTTGTATTTCCAAGGGGAACAGTGTGGAAAAGTAAAAGAGCAGCAGTAACATTTCCTGGACACACAAACAGCATCTTCAAGGGAAGGTTACTTGGACAGTGAAAGGACTTGTGTGAGGAGCTCACAGAGGCTCCCCAATCAGAAGAGCCCAAACCAAAATTCATGGAATTCCAGAACGGTTTGGGAGGGACCTTAAAGCCCATCCAGTCCCACCCCTGCCATGGGCAGGGACACCTTCCACCAGCCCAGGTTGCTCCAAGCCCCGTCCAACCTGGCCTGGGACACTTCCAGGGATCCAGGGGCAGCCACAGCTTCTCTGGGCAACCTGTGCCAGGGTCTGCCCACCCTCAGAGAAAGTTGTCATGTCCTGAGCTGGAAGAAGCTGTCCAGGCATCCAGTGGCCCCCAGAAAAGAGGCTGTGACAGAGAACACACCTGTACAGCTGGTTCCCAGGTACCTCCCACCCCAGGGGTCCTGGAGCTGCCTTACCTGGGGAGGGGGGTGCTCACAGCACCTGAGGCCTTGGGGGTCCCATGGAGAGTCCTCCCGTGGATCAAACCCCAGACCAGGAGCAGAGGAGAGGGGACCCTGCTGGGGATGGCCCCTGGCTCTGTGTGACCAGAGCAGGCTCAGAGCTTGCAGCTGCAATGCCACGGCGGGACAGGGCCGGGGCCTGGGGCTAATTTTAGCCCCTCAGGGGTTTTATCTTACCACTTCCATTCTTGGAAAGGTCCCCCTGGGTAAATATAGCCAGGGCAGCGAGGTGGGGGGAGGCTGGGACAGGTGCTGGGGGCTGCCTGACCCATCTGAGCAAACACAGAGCATTTGCTCCACTGATTCCTCACAGGAATCACAGGGAACTGCGTGGTTTGGGGTCCTCTGCCAGGGCTGCCAGCCACCCCAGTTCCTCTTAACTCCTCTCCATACCACCTTCTCCCCTTTCACAGCAACAAAAATGGCCATTTGCATCATCCAGAATTGCTTATTAAACACCAGAAGAACAAAAGGCATTGAAGACAGTCCAGATTTCCCTCCTGAGCTGCTCCTTCTCCCCTGCATGCACCTGCCAGAAGGAACCACGGCTGTGGCTTTGTAAAAGTAAGCAGCAGAGAGGAAGGCAGGAAACTTTACAGGGCAAACAAAAGGAGCAGAGAACAGCACTGGGGCTCTTATCAAAAGCTGTCAGCTGGGAAGTGTAATTGTATTTTATCCAGTTCCCTTGAAACCTTCTCCCAAGTCCTGGGTGGTGCAGCAGGAGCAGCCTGGCAGTTTGAGGCAGAGTTATCAGTGGCATGAGATAACGAGAGGGGCACCGAATTATCCAGCAGGAAAATCTCCACTGCTGCCAGAAGTGAAATCAGGGGGCTCTGCAAAATGTGTGATGTCCCATGTCACCACCACCTGGTTTGTGGGCACTGCTCGAGAGCAGGGAAATGCTCAGTATTGACTGGTTTAGACTTCTGGCTTCCTCATAGTCTCACTCTCCAAATTCAGCCAAAAATAGGTTATTACTTCAACAAGGTCAGTTTCCCCAATGGAATTATGGAGCATTATGTGGATAAACGTGGGAGCAGGAGTGGAGAGTTCAGGGTTTGCTGAGTGTCCAGAAGCTGCAACCACAATGGGGAGGTTGCAGAGAGAAAAGCCAAGCCTGACTGGAAACCCACAGAACACAGAAATCAAAGCAGCCATTAAAAAGACAGAGTGTTATAAAGGGAAAGAAAAAGGGAGTGCAGACAACAGAGTGAATACATGTTAGAAAATGTGAAATGTAGGAAACTTGGAGATGAAAGCAAAATCCTTGAATGGGAAATTAATGATAAACTGCTTATTCTTTTGTTGTTGTTCTTGCTGCTGTTTAGTTGTTAACCAAGAAAGATCTTAGAAACAAGAGCAGCTCTTTGGTAAAGGAGCAGATTAAACCGAATACTAATGAGGAAGCACTTGCTGAGAAACCTCCTCAGCTGGAATCACACCCGGACACACTCCTGGTGCTCCCTGCGCTGCTGCAGGAACGTGTGTTGTGCATCCCACGGGGATGTAACATCAGCAGAGCCAGAGAAACCCTGATGGGAGCCCAGGGAGAGTTGACTGATAAGCCTGACCCATTTTGGAGAAGCTTCCCAGTGCTTCAAACTCCAGGGAAGGCCAAGGAGTCAGGAAAAGCCTTTCCCTCCAGGAGCTCCTGGCACGAGCAGCTGTCCTGAGGCAGAGGCTGACCCGGCCTGGGCTCCAGCAGAGCAACCCTTTATCAGCTCTCCCTTCACTGGGGAAGAATTAGAAGGCAGAAATGTACTTAATGCCAGTCAATAAGGTTTTTTGGGAAGGTAAATCCTGTCCAGAGTTGCTTCCATTAAAGAGATTATGGTTATTAAGGCAGCTGAGGAGAGCTAATGAGCTTTTGGATTTAAGGCTGCTAAGCATCCTGATTTAAAAGTTTAGAGTCAAACAGTCCCAAATAAATGATTTGGCAGGGATTAAGGATTTACAAACAGTCCTCAAGGTCAGAAACGCAGCTACTGAGTGGGGCTACTTTGAGCCGGGAGTCGCTGCCAGACCGCAGTGCAGCCTCTGAGCTCGGGAGTTTCCCTCCATGCCGATCCCATTCCAGCACTTCTCCCTGTGGATTCTGCTGGCCACACTCTCTCGGCCCAGCCTGGAGGTGGCTCCAGCAGCCCTGCGATTCAGGTATTCCCCAGGAGAGGGCACAGACACCCGTCCAGAATCCCCGGGCTCCCTGCACAGCCACCGCTCCCTTGTAGGCAATTCCCAATTTACTTGGTGCATTAACACCCAAAATACAGTTAGACATGAGGGAGGAATCCAGCACCTGTTTCTTCTCCCCCTTGAGGAACTGCAGCAGCACTGGAGCCCCAGGAATCGGGCTCCCTGCTTCCAAGGCCTTCTGGAGCTCCCTTTTGGAGCCTGGAATCCAGGATGGGACCTTAAAAACCACCCAGTTTCCACTAACCCAGGTTGCTCAGGTTTATCCAGCCTGGCCTGAGACACTGCCAGGTGGAAAGCCCTCAGCAGGAACTGCACCTGACAATCTGCAGGTCCATCCATGGGGATTTTTGCTCCTGGCTGTGTCTTTATGGGTTCCCTGCTCCTCTCCCAGAGCTGGGCAGGCTCCAAGAGCTGTCCTTGGCTGAGAGAGAGGGAGCAAAAGAGATCAGGTTTGTAAAGCAGCTTTGGCTTTTCCCAAGTCCACTGCCCTGCTCTTACTCACTGGTTACTCAGTAGCCCCTCCTAAGGGTTAGCACTTACTACAACCCTTACTCAGGGTTGTTACTCCAAGGCCTACTGGGTTTTGTATCCCCCCCACCCCTCCACTCCCCTAAAGAGCAGGAAAATACAATTTCCAGGAGAACGCTCCAATCTGGGAGCTGTTTGCGGGCAAGGGAAGCTACAATTAACACACCCTTCGTCCAAATTTCCCCCCACATAAACTGCAGCTTTATCAATTCTAGTCAGTGTTAATGCTAATAATCCAATTAAACGCAAGGCAAGTCTAATTAAGGTAAATTAAGGATTTCACTGGCAACATTAGGAACATTTAAAATCAGCAAGAAGGAAAAAAAGGCTGTGAAGCACCTGGGGACCGAGTATACCCAAGAGCCAGGCCTAATTTTTTGCCTTAATACCTTGAAAATCCCCACTTTTAAGGTGCACGGTGCAGTGGGAAATACTGATCAGGGGCTGGATAACAGCTCTGGGCTCTGTCCCTGGGGGTCACAGCCTCATCCTGCCCCAGGGGAGGATGGAGAGCTCGGGACCAGCATCTCCTGCAGGTCCCCTCCTTGTCACTCAGCTCCCCCACGAGTATTAAAAACCTCCAAATGCTTCTTTTCAGGTTGATTACCAACACAGCCTGCACGGCTCTGCCAGGCGCAGATTTAAACCATCCACATGCATTTCCCAAGGCAAATGGCAGCCTGGAGCATTTGGGAAAGCCCTCAAAACATCAAATCAGCTCCCATCCCCTCATTCCTCCCCCCCTGCAGATTTAACAGTAGGTGTGACTGTTGCTGCATAGCTCTGAGTAAGTCAGGTATCGATTCCAACCTCCATCCCAAACACAAGGCACGTTTTTTGCACCTGGAATCTCCCTCTTCCCTGAACATTCTCCCTCCTCACCCGAGTTTTGTCTGCACTCAGAAAATGTAACACCTCCCCTTGACTTTTGAATTCACGATTAAAAAGAATGGGATAAAGGGACATTTTTAAATGACACCCTCAGCAGTGGGGCTGTGGATTGGTCACTCAGAAGCCACCAGGAAAATCCCTTCACCTGGAGCCTGGATCACCCACAAAGCTGCACTCAGCTGCTCTCAGAGCCACAAGCTCTGTTGCTCCTCTGGACGCTTTGCAGTCAGCCTGGAGTCACCTGTGGTTGAGGCACAAACAGCTTCCCAGGAGGAAGAAGACACTGAAGATATCTGGCGCTAATATATAAGATATTTGGGTTTATGTATAAAGAAAAATCTAATCTAAAAAAAAATCAGAGCAGCACAGTGTAAAGGAGATAGTAAGTTTTAACACAGCTTCATTAGTGGTTGTTTTTAAAGACCCTGGGCAGAGCTGCACCCCCCAAAACCATTAAGGCCACCCAGTTTCCCTCCTGTAAAGGAAGGGGAAGTGGCATCACACTCACTTTTAGATAAGTTCATTACTTAAGATCCTTTAATTGACTTCACATTTCCAAGTGAGAAGCTGTTCTTTGAGTTAATTAATAAACAATGAACAGACCAGCCATTTATTTACTTTAAAAAGGCAAGGTGTTTATTTTTGTAGGGAATAAAAATAAACCATAATACAAGTGGAACTTCCTGGGACAAACACATTTAGAGAGAAAAACCCACAGTGCTTCTCTAGAGATGGGACAGTTACTTTTTCAAGCAGTGCATGAACTAAAGTGACACACAGGGCCATCATGGAACGTTCTGGAACAGGGGGTTTCACCACCCACAGCTGACCCAGCTGTCCCTCAGCAGTGACACAGATAAACAGCACCACTGACACTGCCAGCCAGCACTACACACAGTTTGGGAATGTGCTCACAAAGATCACTTTGGACGACAAGGGAGGTCCACCCGGGCTCGGGGTGGGATCCAGTGCTACGAGTTACTGCAGGGGTACCTGCTACATTACCTACAGATGCATTCACAGAGACAAATGGTGGGAGAGACACAGCACCCACTGCCCTCCTGTCCCCCTCCTGCGCTGCAGAGGGGCCAGTAAATGAATGTAGTTATTAACTGGACATCACATTAATGGAATAATTACAACACCTGCCCCAACAAATGACACCGACTGCTGCTGGCACCCACCTGGCTCCTCAGCTAATTAACGAAGCGCTGGGCAGTAATTAAAACTGGTACATTCAGAGAAGCTCCTTCCCCCGGGGGAAGTGGCTGGAGGTGCGTGAGGGCTGGGATGTAAACAAGGAAGAACTGGGTTGGTCCCCACAAACAACCCCAGCACCCAGAGTGGTGGGACAGGCAGCAGAGTGACACAGGCACTGCTGGAATTCTCCTGGTCCCTCATGGATATCCATCCCTGCCCTGTGCCAAGGAATGATCCTTTGGGAGGGGACCCTCAGGCACGGGGGCTGCCCAAGAACCAGGTTTGCCAGGAGGTGAAGGGCAGCAGTGCCTGGAACAGGAGCTCTTCCCTTTGAAATGCTTCTCCTGTGGGTGCTGCAGCTTTGGGAGCTCCTGCCAGGGCTCTCTGGCTCCAAACCCTCCGGGACAGCAGTCACAGGGCTCTTCAGCCTGGACGTTCCAACCTGGAACCCCAGCAGGCCTCACTGCAGGTGGAAATCCCCTGAAGCACACCTTCAGCTCCTGGCAAATCCTGCTCTCCAGGACTCCAGAAGCTTCCTGAAGACAACTGAAGGCAAGCAAAGCTTCCCAGCTGCCTCCAAGCAAGTGTCCTCCTCCATCCCAGGCATTTGTGCACCAGCCACACCGCAGGGGCAGTTTTCTTCCAAGGACTTTACTCAGGCAACCACTGAGCACAGGAACAGAGCAGGCAGCCAGGAGGAAACTACACCCAAAGCCTTTAACACACTGTTTTTTCTCACCCATAAAAAGGCCAGTGGAGAACTAAAACTATGGACAAACCCATTATTCCCTTTTTTTCCATCAGAGCAAAGAGCACCCACTGCATGTTCTGTGCCAACTGCAAAACAAGACAGAGTTTAAGGATCCACCAAAGTTCCCACTGAGACATTTCAACTGAGAAATAAAGGTCCCTCTTCTACTCCAAAGCAGTGGTTTCACCACAGAATATGTTAAAGCTCATCACTGCAAGGTTACAGCGGGGTGCAGCAGGAGGGACCTGGTGGAGCAAGAGGAGCTCCAGAAAAGAACCAGTTTTACACAAACACATCCCTCTTCCCCCCTAGTTCTCCCAGTCAGAAGAATCCAAATGGAAGGAAGTTGCATTGTCCATTTAAGAGTTCCAAATAAAAGCAGCATTTCTGACCTCAGGACACAGGGAAGCCCCACTAGGAATAAATAAATCCCGGTACCTCTCACCCACACAGGCCTTGCTGAAGCAGATTCCTGTGTAACAGCTTTTCCACTCCTTTAATACTTCCAGGGAACAGAGACTCAAGTCAGCAGGGCATTCCACGAGGAGGGAACAAAGGCTTCCTGCAATGCTTCAGGAAGGAGATCCCCCCTGACCTTCATGTTTGGTCTTCAAGCACCCTAGCACTGAAAAGCTTCTTGCCAATGGCTTTTCAGACCAATAACCTCATGGAGAGCCAGGAAAGCCTGGAATCCTTTCCAGCTCCCTAAATAACAGCACCAGCAGGAATGATTTTTTAATACACTGCAGGTTTGGCCAAGTCTGTACACATTAAATCCAAGAGGTTTAAAAAGACAGGTCATGAATTTTTGCATTTCCCAGGATAAAGTCACCACTGTTCTGTCACTGAAGTTGAAAGCAGCAAGGTCACTACAAGGTTACTGACACCTGCAGGCTCTGAAGTGACCTGGGGCTGGTTACACACTCCTGTAGTAACGTTGTAGTCAAGAGGATTTGATGGAGATCAGGAATAATTAATAATAATTAAACCTTCTCAAGGTAATCTGTGGCAATTCCAAAGACAAGACAACGTGTAAACATTTACAGAATCCTCCTGCAAGCTGGTTTTGCACAATAATTAATCAATGGCATTTCTGAAACCTTCAGGAGTCAGTCAAAACCCTCTAAAATTCGGTATCTCTACTGAAAATCAGAGACATTAAAGATATTAAAAGAGCTGATGATCTCTAGAATACTTGATCCTAATAAATGCCTGTCTGGGCCTCATTTCCCATTTGGGATTTCTCCAAGAAGCTGGTACATTGTTGTACCACCTGGAAAGCAGAGACAGGGGTTGATCCATAAGTCATCCCTGGGGCAGTGTTTCATGTGCTTGGTTTTTAATCCATCACACATTTCTGCTCCCACTCCTTCCTTGAAAACAACTCTATTATTTGTTTTATGACTAACAACCCCCCAATATTAAAAAACTTCCTTTTTGCCATTCCAGGCAGTGAAGGAACTCTGTTTTCCTTGGGTCTTTTGATATGCTTAATAAAATAGATCTTTTCTTACCCCAAGTGAGACACTCGGGGGAGTTTTGGGTTGTTTTTGTTCTACTTTGCCTTGAAGACCAAACCTCATCCAGTGGTTTCACCCTGGGTTATCAACACATGAGGGGCAGATACTGCATTTTATGATGCTATAATGGAATGGTTCTGCTTCTTACTGGAGGCTGGGAAGGCTCACTTCAATATTTGCTTCATGGAAGAGAAAAGTTGGGTTTTAAAACTTAACAGCAGCACCTAAACAACAGTTTTGAGAGCAAGCAGAAAAGCACCCTGAATTAACTGCCCAAGGGGACTCTGCAATTAAGCACATCTGGAGAAGCTTGTCCAGAACATGGAATGTGGGACAGTTCTCCTGGGGTTGGTGGAACATCCTCCACCTCTCCCAGGCCACGCTGTGACCTCAGAAATGCTCCTTAGGCCTTGACCTTGACAAACAGCCCCTGGCTGAGCTCCTGAGCTCAGCAAAAACAGGCTGTTCCCAGGAGCTCTGCTGGATAACGAGCCCCTGGTTTTTAACTCACAGCCTTGGAAACCGATTTTTCTTGCCTGAACAAGCAGAACAACATTTTTAAAGATTTTTAAACATTATTTATCAATCTTGCAAAGTTACTGACCCAAATTGTGGCCAGGATGGAAAATGACTGTGACTAAAGCCTACTCAGGGGTCCTGAGTAAGACCCTTGGAGCTCTCCTGGACCACAGGTGGCTGCACCAGCATCTCCCTTGGAGCAGGACACCTCTCAGAGCCACAAAACTCTCACGTTCGCTCTACTTGGAGGAGCCAGGGCTGAAACCTCAACCCTTTGCCTGCTGAGAACATGCAAAGGTATCCAACCCGAGTCCTTCACTGAATTCCAGGGGAATTTTTCCCAGGGATATACCTGTACACACTCCTTTAGGGCTGTGGGATGCCACAGCTGGGAATGTTGCTCTCCTGAAGTACTTCTGAGCTGTAGGAAGTGCAGCCTCCAAGTGAGTTGTGCTTTTAGTAAATCCTGCAGGAATCCTTTGGAAAGTTGTTTGCCTCCAGCTGTGGATTCAGTGCTGTTACATTTAAGTGCTGCTTATGATCCTATGAAACCTTTAAGCCCAAACTGTTGGTCCAGCTCAGTTTGGCAGTGTGGTCCACTCTGAACCTTGTGTCTCCACAGGAGGCTCTCCCTTATTCCTTCTTATCCTGACCCTTTTCCATCCCCAGCCTCCAGGTGGATAACTTTTGGTTGGGTTTGGTTTTACAATCACTGATTTTCAGTTTTAATTTGCTTTTTCTGTGTGTGCTTTAACCATCTATGAAGCAGCAGAGTGAACCTTGCCAATGAACTTGGTCACACTTACACTGTTCCACGAAACCTGATTTTGCTGGGAATGCTTTGAGGGACCTTCAGACACTCATTTGTGACAGGGACACCCGTTCCTTGGGGAAGAAAGTCCTTGTTTCTTTACAGGGCTTGTGTATGGATGCAATACACATCTCTGCTTTAAACCTGCATCTCCAGCTGACATTCCAGCACATGGAAGAATCCAAGTAGTGTTAACAAGCCCTGGAGCCACAGCCACGTCCCAGGGTGTTCATGTCCACTTCACGTTCCACTGAGGGGTCACAAACTCACCGAGTTCATTGCCATGAGAGACACTGTTCATCTCACCACATCCTGATGGCACAAGACAGAACATCCCAGCAGTCCATGTAACTTTAACATCCAAGACAGCATTCCCTGTAATCGCTCAGCAAGTGACAAAATCATTTTAGGCCCCATTTTCAGCTCATCTCTACCTGCTGCCTCAGCAGTGGACGTGGGGAAAGCACATTGATCCCAGCTTAGAACAGTCACTGTCTTGCTTCAGCTTAACCAAGACCATAAAATAGGAGAGCAAGATTGCACAGAAGTGTTTTCCTGTCTTTTCTCATTTCTAATCCTCCCCCTGGTCCAAAATCCACATGTTCCAGGATGACTCTGGCTTGCTGCAGTAAATGAGGTCCAGAACAACTTATTCTTGGAGAGGTCATCTTAGAGAGAAGCTACTCAACTCAGGGGCATCAGCAAAGATCCTGGGGAGGCTGCAGCAGGTAAAAACTTCCTTAGAAATACTGACTACAAAGACCCAACACTACACTTTACACTACAGTAATAAAAACAGCACGTGGTGTGACTGGACATGAGAACAACCTCAGAAAAAGGCACAGGGGGTTTGGTTTTGTGTAACAAAAATGCATAGGAAACAAAAACTGAGTCAGTTCTGCTACAAGGTGAGGGTCCATGCAGAGAGTCATTCACAGCTAAGAAAGGGCGAGTTGGGTTTTTTTTTATCATTTTAAGATGAACTGGAATTTTTGATCATTTTAAGATGACCTTGTACCAGCACTGAGCACGGACAGACTGCATCCTCCCTCCTCTGCTTACAAAGACTGCCCAACTCCCAGCATTGACTGGCCAGGATTTCTTCCAGCTTCAAACACCAGTGCTGGCAGGCAGCCACAAACCTTAAAAACACACGTGTTTCCACCAAAACCCGAGTTTACACGAGCTCCAGGAGCCTCCTGGGCAGCTCTGCATCACTCCAGCTGCGCAGGGATGTGTCCCAAAGCCAACCTGCTCCCCCAGCATACCCTGTACTCACACTCAGCTGTAAATGGGGGGTCTGCACCCCGTGGGGTCACCCCACCAGAGCCTGCTTCACCCAACAGTTCAGAGCTCCTCACTGGTGCTGAGCATTCCCGGCCGACACCTCCGTGGAGGCGCCGAGATCCTGGTGGTGGTGGGACAGGTTCTCCTTGTGCTTCTGCTCCACAGCTGAGCCCACAGCCCCTGGGGAGGTCCCATTGCTCAGCACAGGGGGTGCTGCCCCTCCATAGTCCTGAGGAGTGCTGGGAGCAGCATGTCCTGCTTTGGGGAAGGAGGAAGCTTCACCGGGCAAAGGACCGTCGAGGAAAGGAAGTTTCTACACAAATAAAAAGATGTTAAAAATAAAATTAATGAAAATTAATTAAAGCACATGAAATGTTAAAAATAAAATTAATAAAATTACTACTCCCAGGTGTCAGAAATGTACAGAAAATCAGCTGTCAACACAGCAGCCTTGTGCCAGTGCTTCTTTTCCAGCACTGAAGCCCATGGGCACAGATCTTTACATGTTTGATACAGACCAGTGTTTAATTAGGAAAGCTGGAGTTTTCAGCATCCACATTAAACTGGCAAAGGACACTAATAGAATTCTCACTGGTATATTTTTAGATGTGATTTTAGTTTGTTTGTGAGTGTTTTGGGTTTTTTTTAATACAAATAGTAAATCCATTGCAAGCAGAGCCTTCATTTAACCCCTCATTTTGCCCAGCTTGCTGAAACAACTCCCCAGCACCAATATTCAAACCCAGGTACACTGGCCAAAGCCATCGTGGGACCTGAAATATGAAATAAACACAAACAGCCTCACGTTTTCCAGCTCAGATGCATCCTCCTCCAGCTGCACCTTCTGGCTCATGCAGCTCAGCAGATGATCCAACACACACTGCTTTGGGTGCATCCCTTTGTCAAAGCGATTGTACATCCCACACCAAAACCTCAAGAACAGGGCAGGAGAAAGGGAATTAGGAGGTCACTTGTGCCCTACTGCCAGCATTCTGTTAAGAGAACAATTTGCTTCAAGAAATTTTCTTAGAGAATTCCTTTAAGAATTTCCAGCAGCTTGTGGTAGGTAACTGATTGCAAGAAACCACCACGGCCTTGGATTGTGAAATTCTGTCTCAACTTGCAGAAAGTTAAAAACCTGGCAGTAGGTCTTAGAATAGGGTGAAAATACACCTTTTTTCTATAGCAGACTTACTGGAGGCTTGGGCAGCTCACCTTCCAATCCTCAGTGTGCCCAACCTCCCAGCTTTTATTTAAACTCTTTGCCCACCAGTAACCACACACAGCACTTCAAAACACAGCTGCATCCCCCCCTCCCTCAGCAGGGACCACAAACAAAGCCAAACTCACCACCTCTGCTGTCACACCCTGGGCAAGCAACCAGAACACCCTTCTTGGGACAAAGACCCTGACTGCATCAGCCTGAGTGTGACTGGGCACCAAAATTCATGCCTGAAAGGCTTTCTTAATACTTATTAAAAAGGAGAAAAGGAGGAACTTTCTCAAACAGCTGTCCACCCTGTGACTTAACTGACACAGAGCAAACAGTCAGGGGTGTGTGGTTCTATCCACATCTGAAGTTCTGCTTTTCCTCACCTTTCCTCACCCTCTTTCTCAACCCCAAAGAAAAGATGTTAAATTACAGCACCTGCACTTATTTAACCATCACCTGTGCACTGCTAATCTCAGTTTAGGGGTGAGGAATGGAGGGGAAGGGTAAAGCAAACCAAGCTGTTCAGTGCAAATTTATTTTATTAAACCTGACTTATCAATCTACATCATAATGAAAGAAATCCCCCCCTTCTTAAATGAGCAACTTACTGGAAGCTGAAAGGTAGTGTGTTTGGCTGAAGCTCTTTGTAAGCTGTAAACCCTCTGTACAAAGGATTTCTCAATTCCTGCTTCCTCTGTAAGAGGAAAGGCCACAGAGAATGGGTCTTCTCAAAGATTCTGTCAAATACAAATGACATCTAATCACTAAAAAAAAGAGGCAAGTGGATTAAGAACTCTAACTGTTCAGAGCAGAATTCGATTAAGGGAGCTATGAATTATTTTTACACATTATCTGATTAATTACACAAACACAAGATACATTCCTGAGGAATATATAATCCACCAGCCAGTCCAGAAGGGGTATTTAACAGTTATTACTGTGGTCCAAATTAAAACACCTGTCTTCTGGGATATAAATTTTTAGCATCTCCCAAGACAATGCTACCCTTAACCAACCTAGAATTATATTAAAACACACAAACACACCCAACCTGCCCCTCCCCTGCCATTTCAAGTCACTTCTGGCTCTACAAACTGCCAACTCACCGGAGATCCTCCCGCTCCTTGTGGCAGGTCCCGAGGAAGTTGCCAAACTGGCAGGAGTAAACGTGGTCATGGATTTCCAGAAGGAACCTCTCGTTGAACTCGAAGGAGCAGGGGAACTGCTGCATGAGCTGCCAGACACACTCCACAAACTGGGTGAACACGGGGGACACCTCCTTGGGGTCCCCATCCAAGTGGCCACACCTGCAGGGATGTAAATAGGGGTAAATCCTGTGTCACCCAACACAGAAAGAGCCCCCTAAACATTAAAATGGGAAGTCTTCTTCCAGTTCTTCAAGTTATGCTTTGAACTCAAAGTCCTGAACAACAGCAGCTGAGATCTTCCCCCAGGAGGGAAGTGCGAAGAATGAATCAGAACATTGCTGGTGCCTGGGGCAGTGGTGCAGTCACCACCCCTGCAGTGGATGTGGCACCTGGGGACGTGGTGCTGCCTTGATGGTTGGACTTGAGGATCTTGGAGGTCTTTTCCAACCTTAATGATTCTGTGATTTTATGATTAGCACTGCTCAAATAATACAATTTTACAGGTAGGAAAACACTCAGAATTCAGGCAGTGAACTCAAGCCTATGATTCTGTGAAGTAATCAAAACCCACTGATGAAATAACAGCCCTAGAAGATACTGCCTTTATGTCACCAACTCCAGTCTTTTGCAAATCTTCTCTCTCCTGACCTGTACTTTCCTTTGAATTTTTCCTGGCAACACATTAACCTGAAGACACTGGATTGGTTTCCCAGTCAAGCCCCACCCCAATAACCTGCTCCTCTTACCTGTGGGAGAACTTGTGGCCCATTGCAATCCACTCCTTTTCTATCAGAACCTGCAGTTTCAAAAGAGGGATTAAACAAAAGAGCATTACTTTGGTTAAAAAAGCAAAAGGAAGACTTGATGCTAAAGCCTAAAGAGTTGGTGATTTATATGTAATAAGTATATACATGATACTTATATACTTATTATATACTACTTATATATAGTTACAAGCATATCCATAGAAATCAATGGGAACAGTAATTGTGATTTACAGATTATCCAGTTACCAATGCAATGGCATTGTTGGAATGAGAACCTGAAGCAAGTCTAGTACTATTTTGAGGGAGTTTCTATGTTGTTAAAGTCATAAGCACACTGAGCTAAAAGAATCAACAGCTTTATAACGCCCTATGTGCTATTTAACTCACCAAAACAAATCAGCAACTGGAATTCAACAAATGTTTAACACACAAATAGGAATTTAAGAAGTACAGCTGTGTATTGAGGAGCTCAGGATGAAATCAGAACCACCAATTTCTCCTTTAAATAGAATCCCTGTGCCAGCCATAGGAAAATAATAAGCAGTGTTTTCCTGAACGATGTCTCAGAAGGAGCCACGTGACTGATGCTGCATCCATTATGCCTTGCTGGATCATATCTAAAGATCAATTTCTGATCTCATCATGCAGAGGCTTAAAGAACAGAAGGCAGGAAAAACTCACAACAGAGTTTTTCAAAGACTTCACTTCTATTGCTTATCAAGTTTTTCCATTCCTAACACCCTGGTTAATTCATTTAGGAATAACCACTGTCAGGGCACTTGTGCCTATAAACCCTTGTCTCAGGGGACAGCCAAGGATGTGTCTGTGGTAGTTACTGCTCCTGTTCCTAAGAAATTCATAAGACCTACATGACGAGCTCCTACAGCACTCTTTGGCGGATTGCAGCCAGAGCTGCATCCTTTCCTCACCCACCTCTTGCAGAAATCTCTCATTAGTGGCTCTCCTGTGGACATTCAAGGAAACAAAGATTTTGGAATTGTAAATCAACCCCTGCCTTTTGTGCCCACACTGTTCAGAGCAATTAAAGCTCGTTACAGAATCAAAGCTGGTTTATATAGGTCACCTCCTGCTTGTGCCAGGAAATGGCCTAAAAACACTTAATTAGGGCCTGTTTACATTTCCAATGCAGGAAGCAGTTTTTAGTTTTGAATTTTTAAAATTCCACCATTGGTGTCCTTACCATGAAGCCTTTGAAGGTCCTGTAGAAGGGGTCCAAGAGGAGCCCAGCCAGGGAGCAGACCTGGGCTGTGCGGTCCCAGCCGTCGGAGCAGTGCACCAGCACACTGGCCTTCTCCTCCCTCACAGCCTGAGGAGACACCACACACAGCACTTCAGCACCTTTCCAGCTTCATTTCTGAAATAAATGCTACCCCTTCATCTGTATTTACCTAGAAGTCCAGAGGAATATTTGTCACTTCTCATCTGGACCATGCAAATGCATTGTTATCTGTAGGTTATTCCATCAACCCACAGAAACCCCAACTAGAAGGAAATGCTGCAGCCTGTCTTGGCAGCAACAGACTGGCAAGAAAGAGACCTTGTGATCTCAAACACTCAGCCTCTTGAAAATCCAAGAATTCCCAGTCTCCTCCTCTGAGGAAAGATTGGGTGTATGGGTAAAGAATCAGACACACGGAGATCAGGAACTTCAAGAGAGATTAGAAGAGCTGATCCCAACCTCCTCCCATATGGATCATCTTCTTCCCCTTGTACCAGTGGCAAGGAAACACAACATCATTTTCATGCTTGCTACATGGGAGAATTGTAAGAGACAACTACTCTCACACCCCTTTCAATGTTATTTCCTGCACACCCTTTTCTCCTCTTGAAGAGCCCTGGTGACTTCTCTCCTGTTCCTGACCTGCAAAGCCACGAGCTCTGCAGAAATGAGGATGGTGTTCAGTAATCAAAATCAGTGTCCACATCACACAAACCCAGCAAATAAACCAGTCAAAACAATCCTGCCATTAAAGCAGAGCAGGTGACTGCATAACAAGCCCAGAGTTACGAGCTGTTTGCTCTACTGCACAGAGCTGCTTCTATTTCATTTTATTCACATTCTGCGGTTTTAGGTGTTTCAAATGAGTTCTAATAAAGCCTCAGGAAGCGCTTGCTGCAAAACAGCACATAGGACAACATCCCAACACTCTGTCACAGCAGTGTCTAGGAGAGAGCCCAGCTGGCTGACCCACTTGTGTCCTCCAAGTTGGTTTGGAGAGCACTGTTTTCCCACCTTCTCTCCAGAGATACCTTCCCAAACAGACAACTCCATGTTTTTTAATCCACCTGCAGGCTGGAGAGCAGCTTTACCTTGGCAAGGAAGACACCTGCATCCATGACAGCCTTGATGTGCCGCAGCCAACCGGAGTTCTCCAGCCCAGTGAGGAAGTCGCTCATGGAGGGGGATTTCATTTCACACACTGAGAACGAACACAAAGGAATGAGCTGACACCCTGTGAACAGCATCTCCTGCACCTCCTCGTTAGCTCTCCACAGCCTGGTATCCTAACAGTCACATTTTTAAAGTGTCAGCAGCAACATCCTGTCTAAAGGACACAGAAAGTACTGGTTGAATACTTAACATTCTTAACTAGAAACTGCTGGTTTGTGTAAGAACTTGGGGCTCGGAAAATATCCTCTTTTTTTCAATGGTAAGTCATTATTTTCTCAGCTGAGTTTTTTCCAACAAAGTAAGAGTTTAGTGATCTGTTACTTCACTATACATCACCATCACACATCTACAATCCTTCCCTCAGCATCACAGAGATTTGAAGACAGGAGACTTCTAATTTACAGAGAGAGAAATAACATGTCTAACCTTGAAGGCAACTCAGATGCTGTAATGAAACCCAGCACAGAAAATACTGACAGTAATAAAGTTCACTAACAGTCCATAAGCACGAGAGAGTGAGGTTTTATCACTGCTGAAGAAGAATATGGGAGCAAACAAGTATTTATTCTGCCTCCTCTTCCACCACAAAATAAATCTGCCAGGAACAGGGAATTGAGGACTCCTACTTATGTTCATCCCCCTCTTGATCCCCAATGGCTCAGGTAAGCATTTCTTCTGCCCTGCTTTGCTTTTTCCCCTAAGATAACAAGGAGCTTAATTACTGTAGGTACTCTGCATTCTAATATATTTATGTGTTAAAAAATTAGTTTAATACATTATTAAAAGCAAGTTTAGTCAAAAGAAATCAGAAATAAATGACAGGTAAGAACGAGATTCAAGTCTTTGGAAGATCATGCCAAAACTGTATTTCAAATCAGATTCAATTCAGATAACACTGAAATACTCCAAATTCAACCCATCAAACACCCAAAAGTATTTCCTAAACAAACTCTTGGTTTTCTTTCATGAAGCAACTGTGAGACTTAGTAGTAAAATGTAGTATTTCTAATATAATATTTCTTAGCCTTTTCCTTTTACTTTGGCACGTTAATTAAGGAATGCTGTTAGTGTTAGTTGCTGGTTTTGAACCACTGCAAAACCAAGCACCAGAACAAATCAAATGCCAAGCAGGAAAGCATTTTAACTGCACTGATACTTTCAGCCACTTCCACAGAGCAAACAAAGCAAGACACCCTCTGCTCCCAGCACAGCGCTGTGCACGTAGGATCTGTACAGCTTTGTGTCCAGAAGTGGCCAGGGGTGACAAAGGCCACTCCCTGGGCTGTTCCCACCTTCCAGGAGTTTCTGCAGGCTGCTCCTCATCACGTGGATGTTCTCTATGCCGATGAATTTGAAGCGGATGTTGTCGTAGTTGTCCTCGTTCTCGTAGCCCTTCCCCGCCGCTCGGTTGGCCATGGCGTTCAACTGCCAAACCCGGGGAGTGGGACAGACAGGAAGGCAAAATTACAACAATCCACAGAAAGAGATGAGCCTGCTTTACAAGACCTTCCTCCTTTTTAAAATCTCCCAGAAAACGGACTGGACAAAGCTGTTTCTCAGCTGTACTTCCCCACCTCCCAGACGTTCATTCCCTAAAATTACACCAGTGTCTCCAGTCCATCACTCATATGCAGAGGCTCATTAAGACCCTGGCTAGAATTTGCCCAATTTCTGTTCTCATCAAAGCAGGCAGGGAGACACTGAGCCTGCCCTAACTGTGCAGCTACCTCAGGAAATTCAGAGAGAAGCAAAGGAAAGCAAAACTAGGAAAGCCATTTTTCCCAGTGACATACATACATGGTGGGATAGAAATAGTAAGAGAATTCCAAAGCTTTTCACAGACATACATGCACAGATGAAATAAAGCCACCTGAGGGAAACATAGAAATATTCAAGTTGAGCAGAAAGAATACAGCAACCAACTGGAACTGCAGAAAAGAAGTACAAAAGAAGCCAGTTGCCCTAAAAATTACCCCAAAGAGTTCCAGAGCTACAGGAAATCTTGAGTGGTGACAGAAACCAGAGCAGCTCCACCTCCCCCCAGGTTAATTTGGGCAGAGGAGGAATTTGCCTCCACAGAGTGGAGGGAAGGAAAAGTCAGATGTGGTACAGACATGTTTAAACCTATTAAATAACTCCAGTGCTTCAGTTCTACCATCCACAGTAAGGTATTCACCAATTATGAATGCTCCCCTTTTCACCAAATATTTTAGCACAAAATTGCCATCAAAGGTGGGTTTCAGGGGAACATCTTTGACACTGGAAGCTGCCTGTACCAAAAGAACATGCACTGATTGCTATAAACATGTCTATCATTACAGAATAGGTGATTTCTAGGAAATGTCACAGCACAAAAAGGCAAAATAGCACTGCAACAACAGGTGAAACATTCCCCATTTTCCCCAAAAGACTCTTCCCTTCTTGCCCTTGCCATGGATTTAACTAAATGTGCAGCTTATAGATATATATATATAATTAAATGCGCACCTGCAATATCTGAACGGCGAAGCAGGTTCTCAGAAAGCTTGATTTCAAAGCAGTCAGAGCACTTTGAAACCTTTGCATTGAAATACTTGTGTGCTGTGAAATTCCTTGTGTTCTGATTTGCTTACACCACCATTCCTAACCCATATGCTTGCAAGAGAATCCTTGGTTTGGTTCCTAAATTCAGTTCCTCGACGTGACAGTCATTTGAGATTGAATTCTGCAAGTCCTTTACCAATATCCTCTTAAATAAACCCCTCAGCTCTGAAGTTCTGGCCCCAAACAGTGGCTATGGACCAGAAGAGCAGAACTGTATTAAGCTGCACATCCCTGGTGTTATTTTTAAAAGGCAAAAAAACGGAGGAATTGCTTTTCTCAGTTGTTATCAGACCCCACACAGCCTCGATTCCTGCCAGGTCTGTCAACAAATATATAAAAAATAATTTATATTTTATCTATTTATATATATTTTATATATATTATTTCTAAAACATATACATTATATATCATAAACATAATAATAGATAGTGTATATAAATATATTTCTTCAATATAATTATTATAGAAATAAAATATATTTATATAAATAAACTAAATATTTTATAGAAACATATTTATGTGTATATAAATAATGATTATATTTGGAGTCTTATTTATTTTTTATATATTCAAATAAGTAAACAAATAGATTTAAAAAAATTAATAAATAGATAGATAAATAAATAAGACTCCAGCCCCATGGAACTGAAATCTAAGGCTTCTTCCCAACTCAACACATGGAGGACTCTCTGCAGGGAAGTGCCACAATCTTCAACCCAGGACACTCCAGGAGTGCCAGTTCCCAACAGCACTCAACTCTCCAGCCATACACCCTGACCCAGGCACCCTGCATCCCTGATCCCACACAGCCTGGGAGGCACAGGCAGCGTTATTATCCTGGAATATTCTGAACTGGAAGAGAAGCACAAGGATCTGGCGTTATCAGCACCCCGCTCCAAGCACCTGAGCTAAGTCAGCTGGGCCAGAGCCACTGGGAGCAGCTTTACCAATTCCCCCCCGAGGTTTCAGCAGCCCAGAACCCCAGGAAGGTACCTTTGGCCTCGTGTCTACAACATACATGAAGGGGCTCCCGGGGTTGGCCTCTCGGATGGCCTGGAGCATCTGCTCGTCCTCCAGGCAGCGCGCGCTGAACCCGGCCAGGGGCTGACTGCAGCGGCACAGGGCAGCCTGCAACACAGGGCAGGGCTCAGTCCATCCACAGCACCCTCACAGCACCCTCACAGCACCCCACACACAGCTGAACCCGGCCAGGGGCTGACTGCAGCGGCACAGGGCAGCCTGCAACACAGGGCAGGGCTCAGTCCATCCACAGCACCCACACAGCACCCACACACACACAGGGCAGGGCTCAGTCCATCCACAGCACTCACACAGCACCCACAGACAAACAGGGCAGGGCTCAGCACACTGCACACACACAGGGGAACTCTGAGCCCCCCCACACACACAGGGGGAGCACTGATCCCACAGCACCCACACACACACAGGGGGAGCACTGATCCCACAGCACCCACACACACACAGGGCAGGGCTCAGCACACTGCACACACACACAGGGGGAGCTCTGAGCCCACAGCACCACCACCCCCCGCCCCCCATCCTGACACACAGGGTCAGTCCTGACCCCACAGCCCCTCCCACCCACCCCAAACACCCACTGAATGGCGTTAATTGTGTTCTCTTTCACTGAAAAACTGCTGCTTAACTGGACCCACACAAACCCTACTGGGCCATATCTCAGAGCAAGAATTTTGGGAAACTTCATTAGATAATGAGGCCAAGAAACCTCACACTGTGCTCTGCCTGATGATCAGGATCCCAAATGTTAGCAGTCCATAGAACCCCAGAATCCCAGAAGGGCTTGCTTGGAAGGGACCTCGAAGACCATCTTATTCCATCCCCTAAGCAATACGTTCCACCTTCCAGCAGCCCAGGCTGCTCCAAGCCCCCTCCAACCTGGCCTTGGACACTTCAGGGATCCACAGGGTCAGCCACAGCTGCTCTGGGTAACCTGTGCCAGGGCCTGCCCACCCTCACAGGGAACAATTCCTTCCCAATATCCCATCTAACCCTGATCTCTGGCAGTGGGAAGCCATTCCCCCTTGCTCTGTCACTGTGTGCCCCTATAAAAAATCCCTCTCCCTCCTTTTCATAAGGCACTGGAAGGCCTTATTTCTCATGCTTTCTACTTGGTTTCTATTGCCAAACCATTCTTTTCCACAGTTGTCCCTCTCAGCTGTTCCTGTTCCACACTCACAAGTGCACTGAGTATGCTGGAAGTCGCCAGCACAACTCCATGCAGTGCCCAGGTCAAGGCACACTTCCTCAGGAAAACAATTTGGCTGTGACAGCATTTTCCTCACATCAGCATCTAAAACACTGCTGAGGCAGCAAAGTTAAAAATTTACATCCTGGTCTTCAGTGGAAAAAACAAAAAAATGAAACCTTCACTTATTGTGACCTAGTGGGGATTTATTTCAGGGTGGTTCTTCCTCTTCAATACTAATAAAATCTAGCTGAGTTAACATGGAACTTGGTAAAACATTATTGGATATAGCTAAACAGGAGATTTAAAAGCCCCACATCAGCAGGAATTGCTGAAAGTTGATTTAAAAAAGTTTGGGCTTTTTGGTTGGAAAGTTTGGGCTTTTTGCAGAGCTCTGGATGCACCTCAAATGTTTGTCTTCAGCTTGTTCTGTGACTCAGAACCAACTAAAATTAACACCATTAAGAGAAGCACAGTTCTCAGATGTCTCAAGTCTAATAATTATCTCATTATTTCCTGTCACTAGAAGGGAACTGGGCAAAAAGGGGAACCCTCCCTCCCACCCCAAGCCAGCACTAACATTGTTTTCCTTATACAAGTAAGAAAGCACCGGAATCCGCCCTCGGCTTCTGAACTTCGAACTTCCCATCACCACTGCCCTGGAGGCAGCTCGAGGCACCACGATTTCTGGAGGGTATGTGCTGCAAACCTGAGTGAGAAGAAAGAAAAAACACAGACATCAGTACTGAGCAACTGAAAGCCCATGAAAAATTCATGTCGAGCTCATGACATTAAGATTTATTTAGAAAAATAATACAGGAATAGGTTCAAAACGAAACAGTGCGGTGAAGGAAAGGATCCGTTTTGAAAGTGAACCTAGAAGTTCTTTAAATTCATACATTTTATGGAAGTTTCTGATTTAGGATCACAGAATGGTTTGGGTTGTAAAGGACCTGAAGGATCATCTTGTCACACCCCCCTGCCATGGGCAGGGACACCTTCCACCAGCCCAGGTTGCTCCAAGCCCCGTCCAACCTGGCCTTGGACACTTCCAGGGATCCAGGGGCAGCCACAGCTTCTCTGGGCAACCTGTGCCAGGCCCTGCCCACCCTCACAGGGAAGGATTCCTTTTCACAAAAAGAGAAAGTAAGAACAACTATATTTAAAAAGTTCCCTCTAAATATTATTCTGGAAAGGATCTACCAGCAATCAGGAAGCATCCTCAGAGAACAACTTTATCCCTCCACCTCTAACCAGCACAGTCTCTCAGCATGGACTCCACAGATAAGCTCCTCCCCAAGCCTGGCTCTACATTAGGCTTGAACATTTTACACACATGCTGGAAACCCTGAGGAAATTCTAAAGCACTGGCACTTGAGAGTTACACTTCAGCAAGTGCAGCCTCAGAGTGATTAATGATTTGAGCTGCTCACATTCAGGTGCCCTAATCAGCTACTGGAAACAGCATCTCTCCCATCACATCTCAATTCAGGCATCCAAACACCCAGCCAGGTAAAATGAGCTGTCACTTCTGACAGCACAGGCTTGTATTTCTTCCACCCTAAGTGTAACAGCAAAGAAAGCTGCCCAGGGATGAGAGTGGGGAGCAGGGGAAGGGATTCAGGACTGAAGATGCTGGATTCTTCCTCAGAGCTGCTTGCTTTGGCTTTTTGACAGCCAGGTCTGACTGTTCCACAACATCAGAAGAAATAAAAAGGGAAATAATGTGGAACAGGATTTTGAACAAGCTTGCTGACAAATGCTGTTGTTTAATGTTGTTTAGATCCAAGCTGGCCTTTCAAGGGAAATAACAGCAGCAGCCAGTTTGGACTGAAATGACAGAGAGCCCTGATAGAGGAGAAGATCCAACCAAGCAAGCAAAAGAAGATCTGTTTTCTCTTGTTTTTCCCTTCTTTCCTTCCCTAGTCCCTCTCCACTCTGCCTCACCCCCCACCAGTGCAAACCGCTGCCATTTATTTCTCTCCTACACATCTGTCCCCAGTCAGGTGGGACAGGCTTTGGAAATACCAAAAGCAGCTAAGGGAACTTCAGGCTTTCCTTAACAGATGGTTTGACATTTCTCTAGCAGAACAATTCTCTGGTCCCTTGCCAGGGGGATCAAAGCAAACCAAGGTGACTCTGCAGCTCTTCTGTAGCATCTTTATCTGCAACTTCCCATCAAGATGATGCTGCTGAAAACCAGGAGAGCTCATTCCTCCCCAGAGGGAGCAGCAGGGCTGCTCCCTGTCATTAATAACAACTTGGAGATACTGCATTAAATGGCTTCTTGGGGCAGGAATTACCTCATAGTCCTTGTTAACATCCGTTATTTCCCAGTAGTCGTTTGGAATTCCCATGCGCTGGTAATCCAGTTTTAAATCAATTAGTTTCCACCCAATTTCCCGGTTCTCTTTAGACATTTTAGGATTGTAAGAGAAAGCATAAAGTTCTTCAGGTTTCACTGGGAAGAAGAAAGCAAAAAATTAACTAGTTAGAGATGCAAAGACGTAGAGAGAGGCCAACACTTCTGGAAATCAATCATTCAGCGCTGCAGAGAAAAACATTTGCGATATCCAAAACTTCTCAACCCCATATTTATAGGTTTTTGGTCAGGGTAGTGCCAAGTGCTGACAACTCATCCTGAAATCCTCAGGGATTTCCAATACTCAGCTCCTACATGCAAGGAAATAGGCTTAAAACACTGTTAGAATTAACTGTAAGTCTGAAGCAGTAATGTTTCCTGAACCAATGATTTCCTCCTGAATTCACTGCAGCAGGCATGTTAGATGGGATTTACATCACAAGCATTAACCCATAAATGACAACACATATTAGAAGACCTATTTTCTGTGCAGAGTTCATACAACAGCTCTTGCACACCTGGAAGTTCATCATTCAGCAGCAAGTTCTAACCCTGAGAGATGTCTGGAGTGTTACTTTCAGCCCAACAAAGGCTGGCTCTGACAAATGGTCATTTACCATCCCAGTCTCCTTCCCTCTCTCCATAAAATGCAAATCTAGCCAATAACTCCTTCAGCTAACTCCCAAGGCAGCAAGTGCTCCAGAGGCAGAGGGAAACCTGCCAGGGGCTGATAAAGCAGGTAACCCCCAGCTGTCCATCCCTGTGCCAAAAAAAAAAAATGAGAGAACACACACACAGACATTTTAAACCAAAAACAGAGCACTCTTAAAATCCTTAAGCAGAAGAAAAGAAAGAGCTACAGCATTTACACAACTAGCTACAAGAAACTGGTGTGATCCCCTGCAGTGACACCTCCCAAGCTTCAAGGCACTACCTAAGTCTCTAATTTTCAGAACTCAAAGAACATGCACAGCTTTTAAATGTAACGCCAGAAACCCTCCAGACACAGCACCAGAGTCGAACTCCAGAACCAAGAAAACTCCAGGGAGCACAAATAGGATGCTGGGAATAGACACAAGCTTTAATATCAATTAAAAAAATTAAAACCCAGCAGACCCCATTTCTCCCACAGGACTCTGAGCCCAGTCTTGTGTGTGAAGGACAGCAAGAAGTTGCCTGGTGCCATCAATTCCCCTCCCTCGGATCAGTGACCCAATTTACAAATTGCAATTACAAATGACATCCTTTGCAATAATAACACAACTCAGGTTCACTGAAGTAGCACCCCAAATCCAGAGGCAGAAGGCAGGCAGGGACTCAGTGGAATGCTGTGCTGCAAGAAGAACAAGAAGCCTGAAGATTCATCCATGGTGGAACAAAAAGCTGGAGCCAGAATAGACCACAGGCTTTTGAGGATGTTTTGCTCACCCTCTTTCAAAGTGACTCCAAGTCAGGGCAGCCTGGGTGAAACACAGGGTGTCACAGCTGAGCAAACAGTGCAGAGCAGCTTAAACATGCTGCTGGAAGCAAATCAAAGATGCCAACGTTTTAGGCTTTATTTGTGGAATTCCCGAATTCTGGGTCAGCTGGAGAGGGCAGAACTGCACACAGAAAGCAGCCAGGTGACAGGAATGACTGACAGTGGCCAGGGATGGGATGTGACACTCGGTGTGGGTGCCACAAGAAGAAAGGCTGGGACAGACTCAGTCAGGCAAATGAACCTTTCATGGGCCTCCAGAAGTTACTCGTGGAACACCAGTTCATTCCCACTGCCACAGGATCACGGAAGGGCCTGAATTGGAAGGGACCTTAAAGATCACCCCCTTCCACGGGCAGGGACACCTCTCACTAGCCCAGGGTGCTCCAAGCCCCATCCAGCCTGGCCTTGGACACTTCCAGGGATGGGGCAGCCAGAGCTGCTCTGGGCAACCTGTGCCAGGGCCTGCCCACCCTGACAGGGAAGGATTGATTCCCAACATCCCATCTAACCCTGCTCTCTTTCATTCTCCCTTGTCCTGTCACTCCAGATCCTCGTAAATAATTTCTATCCATCTTTCTTGTAGGCTTCCAAGACTGGACTTAATTGGGAAGCAAATGTCCTGCTCTCTCCTTCCCAAGCCCACCCTCTGTCTCTGGTGGGAGAAGCTGATTCTGATTCCTCATCCTGCACTGAGAGCCTAAATCCAAGCTGGGGCAGACATAGAATTCCTGGGGCTCAGCCTAGCCTTCCAGCTTAGAGAGCTCCAAGAATTCCCAGAAGAGACTCCCACTGGCAGTACCTGGCTGTGAGAGCTTGAGCAGGGAGGTGAACACGTCGTGGCAGTCCCGCTCCTGCCCCAGGACAAAGTGAGCCACATGGAAGTTCTTGCAGTGGATGAGCAGGGGGTACCCAGCTGTGGTCAGGGGCAGCTTCTCCACACTGGCAATGTGGTGATGTAGGATCTGAAAAACACGGAATAAACAACATTTTTCAGATAAGGCTTTGAGCAGCATAAGCAGAAATGAAGTTTCTGTAACACAATCAGCTATTTATGGTTCCTGCAGCTAACTAGCAGCTGAAAATGAGACTATTTGTGATTATTTATCAAACAAAAACACCCAGACTGCACCCAAAGGCCAGGTAACTAAAGCAGGAATGAAAAAAACACAGATGTACATAAATTACTTTCAGAGATTGATGTGCACCTTGGTTTACCTGGTGCATTTTGCTTTCCCTCCACCCTCATATGCAATATATTCTGTCATTCTCACTTTGCTTTAGAATCAATAAAATAGGCTAATTCTGCACTTCCAAAAGCTGTAAACTCAAGTTTGGTGGCTTGGTATACTGAGTTTGAGAGAGGAAACTACACAGGTTTTTCATAATCCTTGAACTGACACTAATTCCGTGAGTGAACTCTATCAAGTCATGTCACCATTGTGCTCATTTCCTTCCAAACCAGCTGTTTCTGCTGAGTATTTGGTATTAAAAGGCTATAAAAGGCCATTACAGCTTTGGAACTTCCAAACTTGTTTATTTTGGATATGAGAGCATGTAGTGACAGGACAAGGGGGAATGGCTTCTCAGTGCCAGAGGGCAGGATTAGATGGAATACTGGGAAGGAATTGTTCCCTGTGAGGGTGGGCAGGCCCTGGCACAGCTTGCCCAGAGCAGCTGTGGCTGCCCCTGGATCCCTGCAACTGTCCAAGGCCAGGTTAGATGGGGCTTGGAGCAGCCTGGGCTGGTGGAAGGTGTCCCTGCCCATGGCAGGGGGTGGCACTGGATGAGCCTTCAAGTCCCTCCCAAACATAAATGTGACATAAAATAACTTTTATAGGTGTGTTTACGCAGCCCCAGGCACCACAACATACCCATGTTTCCTTCCTGACTTCAGCAGAAGCCTCCACGTAGATCAGGTGGGTGGCTGTCAGGTACAGTGTCCCGGTCGCCGCCTTCCTGTTGGTGTAGCGATCCAGCAGCTTCACATTCTCCACCTGCAACACAGAAAGAGGCTGAAAAAAACACAGAATCCCAGAATCACAGGGCTGCAAAAGACCTCCAAGACCACCAAGTCCAGGCTGTGCCCCATCCCCACCTTGTGCTCCAGCCCAGAGCACTGAGTGCCACATCCAGTCCTTCCTTGGACACCTCCAGGGATGGGGACTCCAAACCTCCCTGGGCAGTTCCAATGCCTGACAGCCCTTTCCGTGGAAAAATTCCTCCTGATGTCCAACTTTGATGGAGGGATTATCTAAATACCTGTTGAGCCCCAGTCATTCAACTTCTAATACGCAACTCATGAAGCAAGACAGGAAAACACATAAAATTTAAGTCTGCCTCGCAACACCAGCTCAGCTTTATGCAATTATTTCTCCATGAATTAAAGCCAAAAAGGTTAAGCAAAGAGCCAAGGTTCAGCACCAACGTGAGTAACAGGATGACTGGACGTGTAGCCAAGATGATTCCAGTTTGTTTCTGGGCAAGGCTGACAAATAACAAGACAAAGAACTGCAAAGAAAAGACTTGTCTGTGTTCAGAGTAATCAAAGTGTTGCTCTGAAAGGAACAGCCCTCTCCAGTCTGACTTCCAAGTGCCTGTTAAAAAACCATCAGGAGCTACTTCTTGTACCTCACTTCCTGGCCTGTAAGTGCATTTCATAAACCACATCGAGCTAATTAATAAAAAGCAGCTTAAAAAAGCATCAGCACAGACATAATAAAATATTTGACAATATTTCATCGATCTTCTCCTGGCCTATTTGCCTCTTCATGAAGGTAGATGGAAATTTCCTTTCACCATTGAGCACAAATAATGGGGAAAATTAATTGGATAGATAACAAAAACATGTTTTTTAACAGTGTATGATAGATTAGTTTGGGGTATTGAATGTGTGAGTTTTCTTACATTGTGTGAGATAAGCCATGGAAAATGTCAGCAAAGAAACTTGCAGAGCAGAGGCAGAGACTGAATGACTTCCTAGCATGCCATATTTTTCATCAAATATAACTATTATATATAATATTTCCCTTTTTCGGGGCACTAGACACAAGCAGAAACAGCAAAGCACCACAGGGAACAGGGGAAGGAGCATCCCCAAATCACTGTCGTAGAGAATAAACAAAAATATAACAATATAACAACCTCCATGGCAGCAGAAGGTAAAATTAAATTACTAACCGCTGCCTGAAGTAAATGCAATTTATTTTTAGCCGCCCGAACACAGCACTCCCAGGAGTTCCAGTTCCACTGAATTTGACGGGGGAAAAAAAGCACATTTGGTTCCCTCTTTGGGACTGAGGGGGGGTGGATATAAAGGAAATGTTCAGGGATCGCTGCCGTGACACCTTGTGTCACCCTGCAGACCCGCTCCCCTGCACGGCGGCGGAGCCACCACCGCCTCCACACCGCGGCTTCAAACCCGCCGCGCTGTGCCCCGAGGGCGCGCAGGGGGTGCTGCCCCGAGCGGGAGCAGCGAAGCAAACCCCGCCGCTAAAGGGAATAAAGCCCGGTGAGGGTTACCTTCGGCGTGCTGATGTGCTCCATGGCCGCCCGGCCCCGCCGCCCTCAGGGGCCGCCCCGCCGCCATGAGGGACCGCCGCCCCGCCCCGCCCCGCCCCGCGCTCGCGAGAGCCGCGCGGCGCCGCCGCCATGTTGGGGGAGGGCAGCGCTGAGGGCACAGCTGAGGGCACAGCTGAGGGCTCAGCCCGGCGTTCCTCTCCTGGGATCCCCTCCTGGAGCCCGCGGGATGCTCCTCCCAGCGAATATTTGAAGGAAAAGCCCCCTTTCCCTCGCAAAATGTAAGGCCTGCAGTGTTGCCCTCAGTGGGCTAACACTCCTCCCCACTCGTGTAAGGGATCAGAGGCGCGTTTCACATTAATGCTTGGCGCACTCAGCAGAGCTAATAGTACCTGTTTATCAGGTTTTCCCTACATATTTTAATTTCAGAGCGGATACCCAGCCTGGATCCCGAAGAGCTGCTGTAATTCCTGTTCCCGTGCCTGCGATGAGTGTTCGTGTCCCACACACCCAGGGGCAGCCGCTTCTCCAGGCGTTCCTTCCAACCCGAGTCCCCAGCTTCCCGAGAAATTCCCTTCAGGAGGGTGATCTCGTGTGGAGTCTGAGAATTTACAGGTTTTGATTATTACATGATCAGAATCACAGACTGGTTTGGGTTGGAAAGGAACCTTAAAGCACATATAGTTCCAACCCCTGGCACGGGCAGGGACACCTTCCACGGGTGTTTTTCCAGTGGGGGATGTTGGTGTGATGAGCCAGTCAAATGTTTTTATGGATCCCAGAAAGACTTTTCTTGCTTGAACTCCATAAGGTGTTGATTAAAACACTTTATTAGAGATAACATGAGAAGGGAAAAGGGGGTACCCTGCCATTCCTTCCCTGGTGGGAATCCCAAGATGTGAGGGATCAGATCGACCCCAGCCACGGCACACTGCACAGATCTGGCTTCATCCTGCCATCTGTACCCTCAGAATTAACCAAATCTGGAATTCCTACCCCTTGTGCAAACATCCCATACTTGTACAAACCCACATGGCTTCACTTCCAGGGAAGAGGAGATACGCGACGCGTAAATCCTGGGTGTGGAGCAGCACAGGCTCCTCGTCTGCAATCAGTGGGGACAAGACTTATTAATTACGGCTTTGCATTTGTGCTCCACATAATCCAAAATTGGTTTTTCCCCCATTAGCTTCTCCTGGGGTTTGCAGAAGGATGAGGACACTTTAGAAGATTAATAATAAACAGGGTGGGTATCATTGAAGGGACTCTACAGTGCTCCACAATGGAGGTGTAGGATATCAACTCTTCCTCCTCCTCTTCCCAAGGGAAATGGCACACACATAAGGCACAAATAAAAAATGAGGGAAGAAATAATCACATGGAGATGAGAAGAGCTGGAGTAACAGATGCATTGCCCAGCCAGGTACTATCACCCTCACAGCTTATTACCAAACTAAACACTATGCCACCAGGATCAGTTTGAGCAGCAATCCCAAGGAATAAAGAGAGCTGACTTCTTCCAGGGAGCTTTTCCCGAGCAACAGATGTGTTGTCCACATCTTCTCTCTGCAATCTGCATTTACTGAGCCTGAGGAGTTGTACAAAGGGAGGTGTAAGAAGAACATAAATGGAGAATGAGGCCACAGAGTTGAGCTCAGCAAATACATCTCGAGTGTATTTGAGGGGGAAGGTGAACTCATAAAAAAGGACCTTATAACTACCCAGGTCAGTGATGAATAGGGCTTAAAACGAGTGTTTCACCTGTCCTGCTGCTTTTGCTGGGTGGATGACAGCACTGACACAGAGCAGGACATGTACCAGGCAACAAAGGCCATGTCCCAGGCTTGACTGAACTCACCTTCAGACTACACATTTTTGCTGTCATTTTAAATCACATTTAGTACAGAATTCCCCCTGTACTACAGGAATCTGTAACTCCTTTGATCTTGCTCTGAGTTCCTTACGCTGACATTGATTCTGCCATTCACCCAGTGCCCACCCTCAGACTGGACAGGTTTTGTGCTGAGAGAAGAGTGGCTGTCTGAATTTATTTTGCAATCTGCAGAGCAGTTTGAAGAGCTTCAGTTTGCAGGAACAAGCTAAATTGGAGGTATGGTCTGTTCTTCACCAAGCAATTTCTGTAATGTCATTTTTATTAGTCACTCATCCTTTAGGAAGTGTTTAACAGGCAGATAAAATCTAACACAATAAATCTCTATCAACAAGACAGTCAAATCTTGAGTGATGCAGATGAAAATTACATTTTTGGAGATATATTTTAGAAAAGAACAACTTATTGTACTATTTTTACTGTGAGAAGGATGGGAGGGGGCATTACCAGACACCCACACTCCAAGCTCCTGGAATACAAGTGCCAAAGGGGCTGTTGGAAAAGGAGTCTTGTTTACAAGTCTTATCAAGAGAATAGTGCCAAAAATACACTGAGATAGTAAGTTTAGATACAATTCAGTGCACACAGGCCTGCCCAGACCCCAGATCCTGTCATTTTGGGAGCAGACAGCACAAGGAATGTCATGGCCAAGTCCATCAGTGTGCTGGTGCCAAGGCCAGCTGAAACACCAGGCAGGAATTTGGCCTTCAGAGTTTGTTTTTCTCACTTTAGTGGTACTCAAGAAATAGCTGTGTCAAGAAAGAGCCTCAGGGAGAATAGATTTTGCCCATATTTTAGAATTTTGACTGTCACAAATAAAATCTGCAGAATCTTCTCAGAGAAGAAAAATTTACAAGTAGCTTAATTCAGGGAATATGAGGCTGCTGAGAAGAATAAAAGCAGTGCTGGGCATGAGCTCCTGCAAACCTTAACCCTTGGAGTTGTCCTAAGTCTGAAGGGCCCTTCAGTGGAAATTTTTAAGTGAGTTTTGATATCATGAGGTAGGATCAGATTCTTTATGTGAGGAGCTGCAGCGTCACTATGTAACCTGGGCTAGTGGAAGGTGTCTCTGCCCATGGCAGGGGCTGGAACTGGATGATCTTAAGGTCCTTCCCAACCCAAACCAGTCTGGATTCTGGGATTCTAATTACAGCCTCTGCTAATGGACCCAAAATGATTCAACTGATGAGTTTCCCTGAAGGTTTTGAAAGTATCTCACAGAAAAAAACCTCTACCTTCTTCCCCTTTTTCTGCTGACAGTGATGGTCCCCTCAGTGCCACCAGAGCAGGGCAGGTGGTTCTTAAAGCCTCACTGCTCCTGTTGCACTGCAGGTGAGTCTTCCATGTCCTGGGGCATCCATTGATCTGCTGGACCAAACACAGTCAGCTCCCCCCTTGTACCACTGAAGGGTCACAGCACGGAGCTGCCCCCGAGCTGGTCCTGCTGCTGTAATTCCAAACTCCTGATCCTCATGGCCCCTCATCTCCCTTCCAAAGGTTTTTACAGCCCCAAGAGGCTGTGATTGCCCCAGACAGCAACACACTGCATGCAGGGACCATCCCTCTCCTCCTCTAAATTTGGTACAATCAGATGGAGCATCCAGGTGTCCGGGGTATTTTTAGACTCCCCGGTTGTGTTGCTTTGCTGTAGAATAATAACCTGCTGCTCATGCTGTGCTGGGGCTGTGGGACAGCCCCCCCAGCCTGCTCAGGGTCAGGAGGGGTTTATTATTTAAAGCATCACTCACAGAGATGGAAAATCACTGAGGAAAGTGAGGGAAGGAAAGATTTGGGAGAGTGGTGTGGGGGTTTTTCCTTTGCAGTTGCTGTGGCTGGATGTTTTTAATGGAAAGAAAATAAAATGTCATCATAGCAAGTCTGGTGAAATCACCTGACACTTGTGTCCACTTCCAGCAGAGTTTAGGAAGGGAACTGAATGCATGAAGAAACAGCTCAGACAGGGAAGTTTCTTCTCTTTTCCAGTGAATAGCCAGGAGCAGGTTGTGATGATTCTCAGGTTCAAAATTATTCTAGAAGATTCTTTGTGTTTATTGCCTTGCAATTCAAGCTTCACTTCTTGTTTTTAAAAATCTTATCATTAAGTGGCCTGGTTTGTACCCCTAGAATCGAAACAGTCTCCCTGAACATCAGGAGCCACGCTCATAGAAATGTTACTAGCTGCCTAAGCTTGAGAAAACAGACACAAACAGACTTTGACAAAGAGATGGGTTGTTGAGAACTCCCTGGCATGAACATTCATGGCATGGGACCGTGAGGGAAGGCTGAGCAAGGCTGAAGCAGACGTGTTTACAGTCTCCAACAAACCTCTGCAGATCAGGTTTTGCAGTGTGTGTCTGTCACTGCTGAGGGAGAACAAAGCCTTCAAACCTCCCAGAGCCTGTCCCTCAGGACACAGAGCTCTTCTCCCTCACCTGGCTGGCGAGTGGGAAAGTTGTTTCCTGGAACATTTTTCACCGGCTCCCATTGCACCCTGGGCTCCCAGTTGGATTAAAGCTCTGTGTGGATGAATGAGTCGAAGACTGAGAGCTGGGAATGGTTGTCTTCCCTTGGCATTGTCTTCTGTCTGACACTGACACCTCACAAAGAGAAGAGATCATGTGGAATTAGCTCCAGAGCAGGGCAGGTGCTCTGTAAGGATCTGATCTTCTCTGGAGTAAGACATGACCTGCAAACCACCGGAGATCCAGTGCATTCCAGAGCCTGAATGGAATTTTCTCTGCAATCCAAACATGTGCCAGGGCCTTAAACGCTTCGTTGCAGCACACAAAGCTCTGACCCAGTCAAGCCTTGTTAGCAGTGGCAAATTTATTCCTAACTGCTTTTCTCTGATGCAATGGAGTTGTTCTTTTTTTGAGACAGGCCTCAATCCATGGTGACAAAGGGTGGATTATCTGTCTCTCAGCAAGCTATTGAAACCTATCCCAGGGAATTCGGATGTGGGGTTAGAGAAGCTGTTGAAAATATGCCAAGAACTGTACAGTACAGGAAGGAGAGCAGGGATGGTGCTGAAATGCAGAATGGTATTTGGATGCCACAGCATCTGGAGAGCTGAGATGGTGTTTGGCAAGTGCCAGAGAGGGATATAATTCAGGACTGGAGCCAGACTCCAGCTCTCCTTGGCTGCAGACAGAATCTC